GTTGGATTAGGACTTCATTGTGCAGCAGATTGGGAGAGCTGCAGAAGTGCCTTTCCTGATATTTTGGAGGACCTAGAGATATGTATTGGTGGTGAGCCTCTAGGAGCAGAACAGAGGTTCAGGGTGGACACACAGGAATGTATAAGGGAAGTGCTTGAATGCTTATTGGCATGTTAGATGCAGTGTAAGGTGAGAGATTCATTTCTTCTTTTGTTGAGGATACTTAAGTAGATGTTTCTGGTGTTTCAGCCCCGAGCTGAGTTTTATACATTTTTATGGCTGAGGATACAGTATTATTGTGCAGGATTTCAGCCCCAAGCAGTGAGGGAGAAGTAAATAGTAAGCCAAGAGTTGAGCAGCCACTTGATATAAAATTGGAATGCAACTGGGTTGAAGCAGGTTAGAATGTGGTATAATGTTCAATTTTATATATCATGTATAGTGTATGTTTTCTTTGTATACTAAATGTACATGTTAGCTGACTTTTGCTCTTGTCCTAGTGAGGTTTCCCAGAAAGCGAGTGGGAGAGAGAGAGAAGGTCATGGCTGCGGATAGGGTGGCACAAGATACTAACTCGTGAAATGGGTATCTAGGAGATCATTTCAAACAAGGAGAGAGTGTGGAGTCACGGCGGCTCGAGTAGGGTGTTTACACAAGACAACGAGGCGAGTGTTGGAGCCGCACCTCTAAATATGAGATGCTGACCTCTCTCCAAGATTGAGTTGCGTACAGAGTGATGTAGATAAATTACAAGCCCTCCAGTGTCCATTGCTGCTCGACCGACAGTAGTGGGAGGGTGGCTGCCGAGGTCAGTTGTTTGTTCCGTCTGGGAGTGGTTGGGGAAGGTGTTTGCCTCTACGCAAGTAACAGTCTGGTGCAATAACCAGAGCTCTCATTTGGAGGTTTGTCCCAATATCCCCAACCCCCTCAGAGCAGATCACCCGTTACATATATATTACCTCCTCGGCACAATTATTAAGCAGTACACTCAAAACAGTCCTTCGGTACCAGGTCACAGAGCTGAATGGTAGAGAACCATCAGGCTTATAGAGATAAGTCGCCTGTAGAGAGCCAGGAGGCTTACAGAGACAAGCCGCCTGATGAGTAAAAATGGCAGGAAAGGAACCCGGGAGACAGTATAGGCAAGAATCGCCCCTTGACATCAAAGTAGGAATTATTACCTGATAGCAATTGCCATTGTAGGCGAGTCTGGGATATTTTAACCTATACATGTTTAGGTGACATTATTGAAAGAGTTTAGTGGTTTTTGTTGTTTAATAGTCATGGGTACAGCAGTGTGATACTTTTTTTTGAGATATATACAAGAGTTGTTACATTCTTGTACAGCCACTAGTACACGTAGCGTTTCGGGCAGGTCCCTGGAATACGATCCCCGCCGCGAAGAATCGTTTTTACAACCAAGTACACATTTTACTGTTGAGTTGAACAGAGGCTACAGTTAAGGATTTGTGCCCAGTAAATCCTCCCCGGCCAGGATACGAACCCATGACAAAGCGCTCGCGGAACGCCAGGTAATTGTAATTGTAATGACGTGTTATGATTGCCGAGACGAGGTCTAGAGCAGAGGGCAGAGTGTGTAGAGCTCCAATGCGGGACGAGAGCGAGTCTTCTCTGTAGCCAGGCTGTAGAGTTGTCTCTCCTCGACTCTGTAATAAGTGCTGGAAGTTTGGACATGGTGCCCTCCGATGCTCCAGTACTGTCTGTTCCATGTGTGGGGACGAAGATCACCAAGTCGGAGTGCACTTCTCCCCAGGCTTGCTGCCTCAATTATGGCGAGACCCACCCTACCTTTTCCCGCGCGTGTGTTTACATTACAAACTTGAGGCAGCCGTCCTCACCTTGAAGCACCGGAAATGTTTGTCTTTTCCCGAGGTGAGGCGCCAAGTTCACCGTTCCCCTACCCCCCTTGTCGCTGATATGTCTTATCCTCGGGCGTTGTGGTCTTCCCACCTTCCTCAGTCTCTCAACCGTTTCCAAGCCTTAGACCCAGACACGCCCACCGCCGCCGCCTCCTGTTTCTTTACGTTCTGTCCCAAAGGGTCCCCCCTCATGGTTCTCTGTCTGGGGTTCCCCTTCTTTCTACTTAGTCTGTCATGTCTCCCTCCTATCCTCCTTCCCATCCTTCCCTCAGTCTCTTAGCTCTCCACGCAATCTGGCTGTGCGGGCTGATGTCCATCACTCTCCCAGCGGTCATCGTGTTGTTTGCTCTCGTGCTTCTCCTGTTGAGACGCTTGAGTCTGTCGTTGCTGGGACGCCCGTCTCCAAATCAGAAGCGAAAGTCTGGCTGATCTCCTTCCTCCTTCCCGGCGGGTAAGAAGGCTTCGCTTTCTTTCTCGCCCCCTGTTCCTGCTACGGAGGTTTCTTTGGCCCCCGCTTCTCTCTCGGTTTCTGCCCCTCCTGCTGCTGCTGTCCTTGACCCGCTGTTGCGACCGAACTGGGTTCCCACTTTTCTTCTGTTAGGTCTGTTCACATTTTCCTCAATCTTTCCTTCTTTGTAAACCTGTTCTTTAATCTCGTCCTTTAGATTTATACACCCATCTCTGACTTCCCTATAACAATCCCCTCTCTAGTCTGAACTTCAGTCTGCCCTGGCCCTCTGCGGTTCTACGGCGGCGGACTCCGATGGCATTCATTATGAGATGCTTCGCCTTCTCCCTCCGTGCAAGTCTCTGTATAATAGGGTCTGGGAGTCGTCGTCATTCCCTGAGTACTGGCTCTATGCCGTTGTCCTCCCTGTTTGGAAACCAGGGTCTCTTGGGACATCCCCTCAAGAGTTGTCTGCAAACTCTTTGATCGTATGGTTAATGTCGTCTAATGTGGTTCTTAGAACACTATCCCTGCTTCTCCCTTTCTCAATTTGGTTTCCGCAAGTGCCGCAGCACATCAGATGTCCTGGTGAACTTGGAGGTCTATATTCGTACTGCTTTTGCTGCGAAGACCTCCGTTGTTGCCAACCTTTTTGACCTGGAAAAGGCTTACGACACCACCTGGCGATATATTCTGTCCCAACTTCATTCTTTTGGCCTTTTCACTTAGGCCATACTTGTACTTTGTAAGTACTTTGGAGGTCAAAGTACTTATTCCACATAGCAGGACAAACAATGCATGGTACGAATTAATATGAGAAGGGAGCATACGAAAGCGGCCGTGGCGGGGACGGCGGTGAGAACCTCTAGAGAGAGAGAGACGGGTCATAAGGCGTAGTAGTCACAAAGAGATGGAGCCGTGCAAGTGACGAGGCGGTCACCACAGAGGCCTTGGGGTTCGATCCAACTACAGAGGACGGAGGGGAGCAGGGAGTAGTAGTCCGGTCTGGGCCTAAACCGGGCCCCTGTAGCGGGGGGAGGGGGGGGGGGGCTTCAGAGCCCGGTCTTCCAGTACAGTCCAGCTCATGGGGCCTGGTCGTCCACCCCATGAGCCTGGATAAGAAAAGTCGTGTCGTCATCCATGTATCAATCAATTTAAAGGTGTGAGACCTGGAACCAAGAGATACCAGGGCAGTCAGGTAGACCGAGCACGGGCCAATGCAGGAAGGGTTCGTCGACCCCAGCGAGTCTCCCCCTTTTCAATAGACAAGTCCTACTACACCGTCTATTCTCCCACAATGGTGCCAAGCCCCCATTCCTCCTATCGCCCCAGCCTGGACACCCAATAATCCTCTCAGGGCGGCCCCTCTGGCGGGTGGTCCGATGGCTCACAAGGCCCCTACGTGGGGCCCTTTTGTACACACACACCACCCAAAGAGGGGGCAGGAGAGGGGGCAAAGGCAACCCACACCCGTCCCAGGGAGGTGTACGCGAGCCCCTCACCACGGCAATAGCGATAATGAAACATTCATAATGTCTAACAACTTATAAAATAAACAAACATTCTTTAAATACTTTATTTCGAAGCATAGGAAAAGTCTATATAATGTTCTGGCACTTTCCTTATACATTTGTGTGGAAGGTGACCAGTAGAGCAGCTCAAGGCGCTCACATGAAACAAACTGTTTAAAATGTAATAATGTAAAACATTAAAAACCAGCAAACAGGATCAAATAATTTACGCTACCAGAGAAGTAAACTTTACAAAATCTTGTTCCGTTTATAATGGCACAACTTCCAAGTTCCTCAACTAAACACTTCACATTTGTCTACCTAGTAAATGAACACTTCTTACAGACTGGGAGAGTCTCAATATTCACTTTTAAGTCCAACTGACATATTGGAATATTCACACGAACAATATCTACCAGCATCGACCACACAAGACTACAATTAACTAGTCTTCCCAGTCTTTCTTTGAACAAATTAATTTGACATTTCACTTTAATCTAGACAAAATTTCCGTGAAACACTTTTACAGACCTGCTGGCTACATGCCGGCTGTCAGTGCTACAGACAGCCCATGATGTTTATATTCTAATTCAATTCATATCTACACTATCACTGCCAGCAATGTGTAGCAATTACAAAGGTACATCTTACAATGCTTTCTAAACCGTGACATTAACATGACAATCGGCGCAAGAAATACATTGTCTGCTCACAAGAAACCCTGGAGAACATATAGGGGCCATTGATGTCTGATCAACACAGAGCAAGGAATCAACTAGTTCCTTAATGTAAACTGACTATAACGTTGTACCATATGGCAGGAAGCACACACTTGTCAATAGTGAGCTTAAAAAGTGTGGTTAGATGCAAATAATTTGGTTTAGTTCAAAGTAATTGATAACCTAAAACATTAATTTAAAATACATGATGGCACGATAAAAAGTTGAGCTGCCACTACTATGACAATTACACAAAGACGTGGGAATGGATTTATCCTAATAACAAAATTGCTGTACTTTAAATATGAACGTCGTAAATACAGGGGCCAGATTCACGAAAGCACTTACGAACGTGTACATCTTTCCTCAATCTTTGACGGCTTTGGTTACATTTATTAAACAGTTTACAAGCATGAAAACTTCCCAATCAACTGTTATTGTTATAAACAGCTTCCTGGTGCTTCGGAGCTCATTAACTGTTTAATAATTGTAAACAAAGCCGACAAAGATTGAGGAAAGATGTACAGATTCGTAAGTGCTTTCGTGAATCTGGCCCCAGAACTCTTTCTGTAATGCCAACTTAACCAGCCAATTTGAACACTCGAGCCGCTCTATGCCTCTTGTTCGTGGATTTGAGCAAAATGTCAGACCCACGAATGCCAGATTACTCAACACGAAAGATACACGTCTAAATAAATTTAAACAGACCTGTAGGATCGAAGCTCGAGTTAAAGTTTTAACCTCTCCTCCCCAATCTCAGGCAAGAAAAGACGACATCTAATTTAGTAAACTGCCACTTTAATTATCGAGTTCGATACCTTTCCACCGCGCCAACACTTCTTCAAAAGGTCAATGATGGCGAGATTAAATAAAAAATTCAAAATCACAAACCTGAATCCTACTTTGGGTTTACTTCACAATAAAATATTAGTAAAATGTTCTGTGCGACATCAATTGAAATATAGTTTTTTTTATTCGAGATATTCTCTTATTGGAAATTTTGCAACAAAGTTTGAAACAAATTTTAGATAACAATGACTATGGTGTCTAGCTCTTTCAAATTCATTCTTCCGAGTCAACCATGTCTTGAAACCAAGTTTCCTTCTCCTCCAAACCATCAATCAAAGAAAATCTGTCTTGAGAGGGATCACGTTCTCCGGTGCCACAGACTTGGCAAACCTTGTCCATCTGAGGTCTCGCAGCCTCAGGTTCCCCACAAACAGCCAACGTAACATCCTGAAACATTCAAGTAGTAATCAATGACAATCTTTAAGTGACTTATAAACAAACATTTAAGGTTTAGTTATTGTTAAAATGTAGAGGCAGAATGGATGTTGAACACACATCACCCATTAAAAGATAACATTAACCACTACACATGATATCTGGTCAAGTTTACTTCTGTTCACCGAACTGGGCAAATTGGAAGTAAAAAAAGTAAGTCATTATCAAAGGAAGGCACCCAGCCGGGAAGGATATGTAGCACCATCAAATGTGCGGGATAATCAGAGGGCGCTAAATATCACCAAGGATGCCATTATGAGAAATGCACAAGGCGATCGGTATCAAAGGTATCGAATTCATCAAGAATTCTATCGAGGGACAGGTGACTACGAGGGACAGTCGGGAAGCAAGAGACACGTTCGTCCTGGAAGTCCGGACATTCAACAAGGATATGCACGACCGTAAGAGGGACAAGGCAGTTTGGACAATAAGGAGCAGGGCGGCGCTCCATTAAGTGACCGTGAGTTAAGCGTGTATGCTTAATCTCGATATGCAGTCTCGCCAGAGCCGTTTCCCACCACCGGTTACGGTGGTGGGAGGAAGGCCACGGGGACATAACTTAAGATGGAGAATAAATAACTGGGTAAAAGTCTAAATATGGAATACCTTTATGGGACATGAGCGGATAGTTTCTTTAGCGGCAGCGTCCACACGTTCATTTAAGGACACACTAATATGGCTGGGAACCCAGTAAAACTCCAGTGTCTTAAATCTACTGGAGAAACATCCAATGTTGATTCTCTACCACCACCGGATGGACTGGAGTTCATGGCTCTGGACTCCAGAGCCATGAGGGCACTGCGAGAGTCGACTACAACAACAACAGAAAGATTGACTGAGAAAACAGTTGAAGAGCATAGAGAATAGCATAAAGCTCTACCGTGAAGATACCCGTCTCCAAAGGCATGCGACACAAATGTGTGGTCAGGAAAAAAAAGCCTACACCGTCTGCAGACTTAGACCCATCGGTGAAGACAGAAATGGTGCAGGGGTGTGAAGAAAAATGTTCAGGGAAAAAAAGTTTCAGAACTGTAGGCAGGGTAAAAGCTTTAGTCACATGGGTCACGGTTTTACAAAATTTAGGAAGGGGGTCAAGGACGGAAGGGACCATGCCCAAATCTCCAGCACCTGCAGCAGAGGCGATGAGAGAGGAATGTATCTCTGACCGGAGCATCTGGCACCAGCAAGAATGACTAAAGGTGGAAGGGATCGGCTGTCATATGTGACAACTCAAAGGCTGATGACGACGGTCACGGGGGGGGGGGTACGAGGGAGGGTGTCGAATGAATGTATCTGAATGTATCTGGAGGATAGAATGACCCTTGGCCTCAAGGATATATTTAATATTCTCGTGGCAGTCTTGCAGTTCCCTGTTACAACTTCGTGCAGGAGAACTCTGCCATGGCTTCTTTTAACCGCGCATTTTTGGACACGCGAACAGAGATCTATCCAATGCAGGACAAAACTGAAGCAGTCAGCCGTTTTCCGAGAAGGGGGCTGCTACAACACTGGCACCAGTACTGGTGGGGATAAAGGTGACCAACGTAGCCACTCAATGAAGTTTATAGAGGAATAAATCTAGAGGATGCGTACTATTCAACATGCCCAAGATCAAAATACTTAGTCCACATTAGCAAGACCAAACAAAGTCTGGGGACATATTAGATTGGGAATGATCCATGCGAGTGCGGAGGTGACGGCCCCGAGCACCTCTGTAAGAGTGGGTAAAATGCGCAGTTGTGGAGAAAGACAACCACGCCAGGTGATGGTCACCCCTGGGGGCATAGACCTCAACCCCACCACAGAGGTGGGAGGAGAGCAGGGAGAAGTAACATGGTCTGGGCCTAATGCAGCAGGGGGGCTACAGAGACCGCCCTCCCAGCACAGTCTGCCTCAGGAGGGCTTGATCGCCTACCCCCATGCGTCAAGTTAAAGGAGGGCCAGAAAAGGCATGAAAATGTACATTTAAGAAACAAAAAATCAACAAATAAGCCCCATTCCCATCATAGAGCCACAATTAGAGGCACCCGACAAGGTGATGCACCCCAAGAGTGCATCGCGGATATACACCCACCAACCGTCACCTTGAGTGCTCTCGGTCCTAGATCAGCCTCGGCAATAAGGGCAAAGCTCGACAATAAAAGTGTTCCGTTACTTGACAACGTCAGGTACCGCAGTTCAAAAGGGGGGAGGCGGGTGGACACACAAGGGGCCAGATTCACGAAAGCACTTGCGCAAACACTTACGAACCTGTACATCTTTTCTCAATCTTTGGCGGCTTTGTTTCCAATTATTTAACAGTTAATGAGCTCCGAAGCACCAGGAGGCTGTTTATAACTATAACAACAGTTGATTGGGAAGTTTTCATGATTGTAAACTGTTTAATAAATGTAACTAAAGCCGTCAAAGATTGAGGAAAGATGTACACGTTCGTAAGTGCTTTCGTGAATCTGGTCCAAGGAGAGCAATTTATAGAAAAATAAATATACTTGTGCAAAAACCCAGAGTTTAACCCATTGATATAAGAAGCCATATTTTGATTCTTCAAATCCTGGCAAAGCCAATATTTCCACTTAAAATACAATAGGCAATCTAAAGTAAGCCACTGGCAAATTTAAAACAATTTATTCACTTTGAAAAGCTTTCAACTACCAAGCCTAACATTATGTATTTTATCGGCAAATTTACAAAATATTGTAAGTTATGTCCCCTAAATAGCAACTTATCCCAATAAAAAGTGGGGTTGGGAAAATCTTTACAAACTTCGTAACATTCAATAAAAGAAATTTCACTCTACAGAATCTTACCTTTTCCTTACACTTCAGAAGTTTTAAGAACCTGCTTTAGCCACAGAGAAAGATCCCCTTTTATTCCATCTAGCATCGAGTTCATGATGTCGGGCTGTGGCCTCTTCCGTCATCCTCTTTATCCCTACTAGTAAAGTCTGAAGCCTCTTGGCGAGGAATTGGCAATGACTCTGCTACTCCAATGAGCAACAGAGTCATGAGGAGGAGTAATGAGGGCCATTGACTCTGCTGAATGGGGAACGAGTCACTAGTTTGTGAAGGTAGAGCTATATCCATTAATGGCTCCTGTGGTGAAGCTGCTTCCTCAGGCACGACGGGAGACCTTGCCTCTTCATTGGTTAATAAAACGTTGTTGCTAATTGTAGTTGGTCCAATAATTATTTCTACGCTAATATCTATTTGCTCTCGAGGTGTTAATGACTGATGTACACCGGTCCGACCGCTGTTAACAGGATTACAATCTATCACGCCAGGTTCCAGGGGAGGAGGGTACCGATTTGCGACCACAGGACCGGCCATGTGCCGCTTCCTGACCCGAGGCTCGGCGGCGCGCCCCTCCCTGACCCGAGGCTCGGCGGCGCGCCCCTCCCTGACCCGAGGCTCGGCGGCGCGCCCCTCCCTGACCCGAGGCTCGGCGGCGCGCCCCTCCCTGACCCGAGGCTCGGCGGCGGCATCAGTCAGTTGCCGAACGCTTGGCTTAGGAACATGTTTGTTACTGTCAGACTTTCCTCGTCTGGTTGACGCAGTTGTTAGAGTTTCTTCCTGCTGTTGCAATGCAGCTGGGTTACCCGCCTTTGCACGTCGTGCAGGCTTTGCAGAGCTCTTCGGTGCTGGGCGCGGTGGCGGTGCGGAGGCCCCAGGAGCCCCAGCACCGCCGCCGGAGGCCCCAGGAGCCCCAGCACCGCCGCCGGAGGCCCCAGGAGCCCCAGCACCGCCGCCGGAGGCCCCAGGAGCCCCAGCACCGCCGCCGGAGGCCCCAGGAGCCCCAGCACCGCCGCCGGAGGCCCCAGGAGCCCCAGCACCGCCGCCGGAGGCCCCAGGAGCCCCAGCACCGCCGCCGGAGGCCCCAGGAGCCCCAGCACCGCCGCCGGAGGCCCCAGGAGCCCCAGCACCGCCGCCGGAGGCCCCAGGAGCCCCAGCACCGCCGCCGGAGGCCCCAGGAGCCCCAGCACCGCCGCCGGAGGCCCCAGGAGCCCCAGCACCGCCGCCGGAGGCCCCAGGAGCCCCAGCACCGCCGCCGGAGGCCCCAGGAGCCCCAGCACCGCCGCCGGAGGCCCCAGGAGCCCCAGCACCGCCGCCGGAGGCCCCAGGAGCCCCAGCACCGCCGCCGGAGGCCCCAGGAGCCCCAGCACCGCCGCCGGAGGCCCCAGGAGCACCAGCACCGCCGCCAGAGGCCTCAGCATGTAACAACACATCAGTGCCCGAGTTTGGTCCAGGAACCAAAACATCACACAATACAACTTCTCCGCAGGTGACTTCGTCAGGGTCGAGGCCTGAGACCGACTCCAGCCAACACCTAGACGCGTCGTTCTGAGACGACATCGATTCTGCATCCTGCCAGACCTGGTCGTAGTTTTTCCTGGTATTGTCAACTACTAGTTCACTAGGGCACTCGTATCGTGTCTCCAGGCAACTTTCCATCACATCTAAGTCGCAAGTATCTGCAAGATCCATCGTATTCAAGTTATTCTTTGTCGAGAGATGTGCATTCTCAACATCATCAATTTGCGTCCGTAGGCAGACGGAAATATTCCCTTCTTTCAGTCTAACCTGTTCAGGATTTAATCCTATAACACTTCTATTTTTAAGATCTTCCCCGGTTTGGAGTAGCTGTCCTGGTTCTAACACTCCTAGAGACTCTCTGATGTCAAATAACGTTCGTCTCTTCAAAACATTTAGTTCTTCACTTTCCAGGCGTCCACGAATTCCCGTCAAGGAGGATTCTGTAAAATCGAAACCACTACAGATTACTGTCATGATTTACGTGAAATTAGGAAATAAATCTGTGTACCATTATTCTTTCAACACTTAGGTGGTCCATAACTAGTTTTTCTACATTAGATAATTATCCTGCCGAACTAAATCGCTCCCTCATACCGCGCACTTAATAGGCATACAGACATATTCCCCTTTAAATTAACTATTAAACTTAACCTAGGCTGCATGCAATGAACATTCGATGCAATTAATATGTTTTTTAATGTTATTACCAAGATGTGTCCATTGAGGAAAAACATCACTTGACAAGTGTAGCTGTAACCAGCATATGTTGGCCGATGACTAGTTAACCGAAGTGTATTGTACCCAGCACATCATACATCTTGTATAAATATCAGCAACAACTCACCGTTACGAAGGACTAAAATACACATCTTAAAATAGAACTCTTAACGGTTGCTGGAGATTAAAAGCCTAAAGATGAGCGAGGGAGAGAGAGCTCCAACAAGCGTCACCACTGTACTCTCGGGAAGCAGTTTACAGACTAATGCTGTCTAGCAGAGAGAACAACAATTAAAATAAGCGGTAAAGAAACTGTGTGATGATATGCGTCATGTGGCCACTTTCTGTTTTTGCCGTCAATCGATAGATGGCTCTATCGACTGTCATGGTAGTCAAATCAAAAGCTTTATTCCCTAAACAGTTGTACATATATAATTAGGACAGTTTACATAGATGCCTCGTATGGGCCAAACGCCCTTCTGCAGTTACCTTTATTATGTTCTTATATATTACAGTACATTAATTACATGCCATAATAACATCATAGCAAGTAGACATTGTCGTTATCTTAAACTGTATCACAGATGGCGCTCACCAGAGATTTATACAATTGAATAACCACTTTCTTTTCCTTGAAATCAAAGGTTTCTTTAACTAATCCCAGGGTTTGGTTGGCTTTTTTATTTTTTTAAGTTCGTACCTGTTGTGCAACTTTTAATGACTGGTGGAGTCTGACTCCAAGGTCCTTTTCTTCTTCAATGTGCTGCAAGGTAATGTTGTTGATTTAATAGTTGTGATGTGCATTGTTATGTCCTACATGCAAGGTCTGGCATTTTTCAATATTAAAACTATTTGGATTTTTTCAGTATAAAAAGGTGTTTAGGTTCCGTTGGCGAGAATTTGTATTTGTCGTACGTGGGTGAAGCGTTTACAGCGTTGTGGTTCAAACAAAATTCGTCATTGAAGCACTTGTTCCGGAAGTGCTCGAACGAAATCAGTTGTGAATCAGCCCGTCCTCCAAACAAAGATCCAAAAGTGATTCCATGCACCCGCCAAACCCCCTGTTTATGAATGAAAAACGGTTTACACACGACTCACAACTGCTGACGTTCGAACATATCCGGAACAAGTGCTTCACTGACGAATTTTGTTCTAGCCAGAACGCTGTAAATGCTTCACCCACGTACTACAAATACAAATAATCGCCAACAGAACCTAAACACCTGACCTAACCTATCCTATGCCTATTTATACACAATATGCTAATATATTATAATATTAATTTATACTTGAGAAAATTCCTGTTTTGAATGAACAGCATGTTAAAATTTATGAATGCGTCTGTGGGGTCGACCGCTGGATGTAATGGACTTGAGTCGAGGACAGGTTGATAAATGTTCAGCCCGTCCTCCAAACAAAGACCCAAAAGTGATTCCATGCACCCGCCAATCTCCCTGTTTATGAATGAAAAAAAAAAAAAAAGATTCAGTATTGTTTTGACCGGATTTCAGCCCCAAGCAGTGAGGGAGTAGTAAATGGTAAGCCAAGAGTTGAGCTGCCATGATATGGACAGTTGGTGAAGCCAGGATATGATATTGGAATGCTACTGGGGTGTAGCAGGTTAGAGTGTTGTATGATAATGTTCAATTTTATATATCATGTACAGTGTATGTTTTCTTTGTATATTAAATACATGTGTTAGCTGGCTTTTGCTCTTGTCCTAGTGAAGTTTCCCAGAAAGCGAGTGGGAGAGAGAGGGTCATGGCTGCAGACAGGGTGGCAGAAGATACTAATTCACGAAATAGGGATTTAGGAGATCATTCCAAACAAAGAGAGTTGAGAGTCACGGCGACTTGAGTAGGGTGAGTGCACAAGACAACGAAGCCAGTGATGGAGCCGCACCCCTAAATATGAGATGCTGAACCCCTCTCCAAGATCAAGAACCATACAGGGTGATCTCCTAGGTAAATTACAAGCACTCTGGTGTCCATTGCTGGTCGACCGACAGTAGCATTAAGAGTGTGGCTGCCGAGGTCGGTTGTGTGTTCCGTCTGGGAGTGGTTGGGGACGTTGGCCTCCTCTACGGCAGTAACAGTCTGGTGCAACAACCAGAGCTCTCTTTAGGAGGTTTAAGTCCCAAAATCCCCAACCCCTTCAGGGTAAAGATCACCCGTCACATATATATTACCTCCTCGTGGCCTCGTAGGCCTCGGGGCCTCGTAGCCTGGTGGATAGCGCGCAGGACTCGTAATTCTGTGGCGCGGGTTCGATTCCCGCACGAGGCAGAAACAAATGGGTAAAGTTTCTTTCACCCTGAATGCCCCTGTTACCTAGCAGTAAATAGGTACCTGGGAGTTAGTCAGCTGTCACGGGCTGCTTCTTGGGGGTGGAGGCCTGGTCGAGGACCGGGCCGCGGGGACACTAAAGCCCCGAAATCATCTCAAGATAACCTCAAGATACTCGGCACAATTATTAAGCGGTACACTCAAAACGGTCTATCGGGACCAGGTCACGGAGCTGAGTGGTAAAGAGCCAGCAGTCTTACAGAGCCAAGCCGCCTGTAGAGAGCCAGGATGCTTACAGAGACAAGCCGCCTGTAGAGAGCCAGCAGTCTTACAGAGCCAAGCCGCCTGTAGAGAGCCAGGATGCTTACAGAGACAAGCCGCCTGAAGAGAGCCAGGATGCTTACAGAGCCAAGCCGCCTGTAGAGAGCCAGGATGCTTACAGAGCCAAGCCGCCTGTAGAGAGCCAGGATGCTTACAGAGACAAGCCGCCTGAAAAGAGCCAGGATGCTTACAGAGCCAAGCCGCCTGTAGAGAGCCAGGAGGCTTACAGAGCCAAGCCGCCTGTAGAGAGCCAGGAGGCTTACAGAGCCAAGCCGCCTGTAGAGAGCCAGGAGGCTTACAGAGCCAAGCCGCCTGTAGAGAGCCAGGAGGCTTACAGAGACAAGCTGCCTGTAGAGAGCCAGGAGGCTTACAGAGCCAAGCCGCCTGTAGAGAGCCAGGAGGCTTACAGAGACAAGCTGCCTGTAGAGAGCCAGGAGGCTTACAGAGCCAAGCCGCCTGTAGAGAGCCAGGAGGCTTACAGAGCCAAGCCGCCTGTAGAGAGCCAGGAGGCTTACAGAGCCAAGCCGCCTGTAGAGAGCCAGGAGGCTTACAGAGCCAAGCCGCCTGTAGAGAGCCAGGAGGCTTACAGAGCCAAGCTGCCTGAAGAGAGCCAGGATGCTTACAGAGCCAAGCCGCCTGAAGAGAGCCAGGAGGCTTACAGAGCCAAGCTGCCTGTAGAGAGCCAGGAGGCTTACAGAGCCAAGCCGCCTGAAGAGAGCCAGGAGGCTTACAGAGCCAAGCCGCCTGTAGAGAGCCAGGAGGCTTACAGAGCCAAGCCGCCTGTAGAGTAAAAAATGGCAGGAAAGGATCCCGGGTGACAGTATAGGCAAGAATCGCCCCTTGGCATCAAAGCAGGAATTATTACCTGTAGCAATTGCCATTGTAGACGAGTCTGGGATATTTTAACCTATACATGTTTAGGTTACATTATTCAAAGAGTTTAGTGGCTTTTGTTGTTTATTAGTCATAGGTACAGCAGTCTGATACTGTAACTGTAATGACGGGTTATGATAGCCGAGACGAGGCCTGGAGTAGACGACAGAGTGAGACCAGGGGTAGGCCGGGTGTGTGAAGCTCCAGTGCGGGACGAGAGTGAGTCTCTGTAGCAAGGCTGAAGCATCTTGCGAGAATAGGAAACTAGACTTTAGTGTTGAATTGTTGCTGGTGAATGTGATGGTGTTGAACACCCGAAGTATATACAGAGTGTTAAGTTACTGAACTGCTACTGGAGTTAAACTGTTGACACTCTGTTGTTGTTTTTTTAGGTTTGGCTACTCAGAACGAAATGTCCATGTAGCACGGGCTATAGTGCGCCTGTAATTGACTTCGGTTATTAACGATAACCTTGTTACTGTGATATTTGGGTCAAAGTTTTAAATAGAGGTGGAGGTTTCCTCTCCCCCTGTTTCTTTTTTGCTTCTGTTTTAGCACACTGGTTTTAGTCTTGTTTTAATAACTTTATCTGTGTGGCGGATGTAGATGCAAAATGTTCACTAGTGAGTCCCATTCTTCAACTGCTTTTCTAATCATTGTAGTCGCTGTGGAACTTGCATCTAATGCAGCTGCTGTCACTGGGTTAATGTTGAGTTTGATGCGCAGGGCTTCAGTTGCTTCACATTCCAATAAGTAGTACAATAGTGGTGCCTCTGCACCTGTTCCACAGGTGACGCTCAATTCTTGACTGCTTATATTCCTTGCTTCTCCTGACTTTGTAAATTGAGCGCCATCTTGATGGTTACCTCTCGCCTCTCCCGACTGATTCCTGTACCTTTGGGAAGTATAAATTATAATTAGTGCACATATGATTAGTGTAGAAGTTTTTGGAAAGTTGAATTCTTAGGGATAAGTTATGTAGAATTAACAGGAACATCTAATTACCCGCAACTAAAATTCCGTCAACTTTGGAGCAAGTATATAATATAGTTAGGTTAATATAGTTAGGCTTAATATTGTTAGGTTAATATAGTTAGGTTAATATAGTTAGGTTAATATAGTTAGGCTTAATATAGTTTCTACAATATATAAGGGAAAGAACAAGGACTCGAGGGGGTTATCATGTATTAATAAGTGCTATCTTGAGGTTATCTTAAGATGATTTCGGGGCTTTTTAGTGTCCCCGCGGCCCGGTCCTCGACTATCTTGAGGTTATCTTAAGATGATTTCGGGGCTTTTTAGTGTCCCCGCGGCCCGGTCCTCGACCATCTTGAGGTTATCTTGAGATGATTTCGGGGCTTTAGTGTCCCCGCGGCCCGGTCCTCGACCAGGCCTCCACCCCCAGGAAGCAGCCCGTGACAGCTGACTAACACCCAGGTACCTATTTTACTACTAGGTAACAGGGGCATAGGGTGAAAGAAACTCTGCCCATTGTTTCTCGCCGGCGCCTGGGATCGAACCCAGGACCACAGGATCACAAGTCCAGTGTGCTGTCCGCTGGGCCGACCGGCTCCCCAGGGCAGGGGGGGCTAGGGGGCACTGGGAAATTTGACAGATGCAGTGATCATGTATAAAGTTTATGTGTGGTGATGTGTAATCGTGAGTTAGACGAGAACAACTGAATGGTCCTGAGTGTTGGAAATTTCCAACGATTAATTACTAATCCCCTAATACAATAGGATGTATTTCCTGTACTAGGCATTATAATCATTTAATACTTAATTACAAACATTTAGTACTCTAAGAGGCTATTCTTGTGCTAATCATTATATTTTACTAATACTACTAACCAGTAGTGGAATAACATTAATTCATATTATACTGCGTAGTATGTATACCAAACGTTCCCAGTATTCATAGCCATGTTGCGTCAGCTCACATGACTGAGAAAAACATTTATATTCCAGACAACTGCGATACATTCTCCTTTATTTCAGCATTCTTTTACAAGACTTATTAGTTGATAATATATTTACCATTGTTCCAGTAATATAACATTGTTTGCTGAGATCACTTTATACAGTTAGGAACTGTTATCACAGGGTATTCATGGAGGAATAACTTTCCCCTTTAGCTTTTTCGTCTATGTGAACTTCGTTTTATTTTCATTGTCACATCGCGAGAATTTAATTAATATTATCTTCCTTATGATAAACCTTGTCTTTATTATCTTGCATCGTTGTACGAATCATAGTAGAATTTTACTCCGTTCCCACACTCCATGCTACCGCGCATGCGCAAGCGATGGAGGAGACGCAGCCATTATTCTCAGAGAGAAAGAGTGTCTGGAAGCTTTCTAGAGTTACCGACTCGTTATCGCAACATCCTTGCTGCTGCAGACGTTAGAGTGACGGAGCAGCTTCATCATTTCTCAGACACCAGTATCGGCAAACTCTAAGTTCCTATATACTGTTATTGTTTGTGATCACAATATAATATTAGATAGGACGTTTGTCGTCACACTGCATGACCACTAAAAATAACAAGTGAGTTTTATTTCAGGGCGCTCTCACATTTCATTTAGAAATATATGTAGTATTATATCTCTTTAAATAGTATTTACATACTGCCCGTATTTCAGCCTGTGTCTTATTGGCAAGAAAGGAGGTAAACCTTAGCCTCGGTCACGTGTTCCTAGGGGGTCCGTCTAATTACCACAAGCTACCACAAACTACACAAACTTCAGAAAGCTTCCTGGCAATACGTTAGTAATGAATAAATATGATATATTTACTCATTATAATGTTGGTGCTGAATGTACAACATGAAAAAACATAATTTTAATCTGAAAAAGTATCTTTTTATCAAGAAATTAGACGAAAATAAAAAGCTGGTGACGCCAAATCAAGTCGACGATCCAAGCTTCGGTTAGGTTAGGTTAGGTTTGGTTAAGTTAGGTTAGGTTAGGTTAGGATAGGTTAGGTTAGGTTAGGTTAGGTCAGCCTAACTTAATATATCATATTTATTCATTACTAACGTATTGCCAGGAAGCTTTCTGAAGCTTGTGTAGCTTGTGGTAGCTTGTGGTAATTAGACGGACCGGTTCCTAGGATATCCTGATGCAACAAGTTTCAGTGACGAATGTTACCAGACTCATGCTACTATTTCATCATGGAGCTAAGCTGTAATTTCGTTCTTATAGTTTCATGGAACATTTCCTTGATTAATTGAATGATTTCTTATGATAAGATTTAATCTATATACCTGCATTTCTTATTTCATCATATAAGAAATTTGTTATACACTACATACATTATATAAATTAACCTTATAGAATAACCCCCCAAAATGTGTTATGGGAAGCGGCTTTACAATTTATAGAATCTACAGTTCATTTATTATACATTAATAGGATTGTTGTATTATTAGATTTTAATTGTATTTAATCATAGAGATCCATAAGCCACTGGTTCTCTCATTTAGAATAGAATTCTGGTCCTTCGAGCATATAAGAATTATATATTATTTTATTAGCATATAATCAAGAGCCACATTTCCCCACACTGAGTATGCCGGTGAAGCCGTATGGATTCTGTGCCAGTGGTCAGGTTTGTGTGGATGTAGCGGTGTTGATTGTCCTGTTGATTGCTGTAGCAGGAGTGGCCACAGGGAAGGATTGCTTGCAGCCAGTATGTATGTATATACAGTGTTCCAGGGTAGGTGATCAGAACGAGACTGAAACAGGAATGCAGCACAGGCCTTGGCGACGGAGGCCCAGAACATGACGGACCAGAGCTATAACGGGACAGTTGGCAACATTCACCAGGCTTGACAGCCTGGATTTGGTCGAGGCCATAGACGACCTCTGAGCCTTCCAACAAATCACGAACGATGGCATTGAATCGTTGAAACAATGACACAGTGATGGAGTACCCAACCCCATTACTAAACTCTTAGTGATGGGGTAGGGTACCTCAGGTGATGGGGGTAGGGTTCCTCATGGGTGATACGGTACCTAAGGTGATGGGGTAGGGTACCTCAGGTGATGGGGGGTAGGGTACCATAGGTGATGGAGGGAGGGTACCTCAGGTGATGGGGGTAGGGTACCTCAGGTGATGGAGGGATGGTACCTCATGACAGAATGGTACATTTCCAGCGGCTGCCGTTTGGTGTGTCGGTGTTCGAGGTGCGAGGTGACAGGCAGGACGCGAGCGCGATGCGCGAGCGCACCTCCAGCATGGTCAGCGAGGCCCGCAAGGTGAGTCACACTCATTAATGAGGCGGAGGGAGGAGATTACCTTGCCATTACTGGTACAATGGGTTTGATACCCATGTACCCTTCACTCTATTGCCTGCAAATAAAGGTTATTTTCAATAAAATAAATTATTTCTTTGTAATTGAAATGCAACATTCATTGTTCTCCAGAATAGATCTGTAGCTTTGTTGTTCAACAAACTGCAGTTTACGATAAGATATGCATTTTCAAATCAAATTCCAATATGAACTTGATATATTTTTGTAAGAGTTTCACAACCACACACAACCTAATAAGATATTCAGCTCACATAACACCACAAACTAGGCTGGTACAACAAGGACAGAGATCGCCTGATAAAGATAGTGTTTACAAACGAGATCACGAAGTCAATTCTAGCAAGGAAAAGCCATCTGTTCTATGTAAGAGGATACAGGGAAGTATTCCTCCAGAGGGACCTGATGAAGGAAGAGAGGGTAATGGCAGTAGAAGCAAGGACGAAGTGCAGGGGGGAGAGGAGAGAACCAGGGAACTATAACCCTCAACACAACAGTCCTGGAAGGGAGTGGGGAACTCCCAATCAGCACCCCAGAGGAGAGGACAACACCCTTCACCTTCCTCCCCACAGCAACCCTTCTTACTCTGAACCCTCCCTGTCCCCATTCAGCCACACCCTCACTGTCACATACTATCTATCACTATGACACACTATCTCACAGCATCACACAACACAAGATACACACACAGCCACACCCTCACTATCACACAACACAAGATACACACACAGACACACCCTCACTATCACACAACACAAGATACACACACAGACACACCCTCACTATCATACAACACAAGATACACACACAGACACACCCACACTATCACACAACACAAGATACACACACAGCAACACCCTCACTATCACACAACACAAGATACACACACAGCCACACCCTCACTATCACACAACACAAGATACACACACAGCCACACCCTCACTATCACACAACACAAGATACACACACAGACACACCCCTCACTATCACACAACACAAGATACACACACAGCCACACCCTCACTATCACACAACACAAGATACACAGACACACCCCTCACTATCACACAACACAAGATACACACACAGCCACACCCTCACTATCACACAACACAAACAACACACACAGCCACACCCTCACTATCACACAACACAAACAACACACACAGCCACACCCTCACTATCACACAACACAAGATACACACACAGCCACACCCCTCACTATCACACAACACAAGATACACACACAGCCACACCCCTCACTATCACACAACACAAGATACACACACAGCCACACCCCTCACTATCACACAACACAAGATACACACACAGCCACACCCTCACTATCACACAACACAAGATACACAGACACACCCACACTATCACACAACACAAGATACACACACAGACACACCCCTCACTATCACACAACACAAGATACACACACAGCCACACCCTCACTATCACACAACACAAGATACACACACAGACACACCCACACTATCACACAACACAAGATACACAGCCACACCCTCACTATCACACAACACAAGATACACAGCCACACCCTCACTATCACACAACACAAGATACACACACAGACACACCCTCACTATCACACAACACAAGATACACACACAGCCACACCCTCACTATCACACAACACAAGATACACAGACACACCCCTCACTATCACACAACACAAGATACACACACAGCCACACCCTCACTATCACACAACACAAACAACACACACAGCCACACCCTCACTATCACACAACACAAGATACACACACAGACACACCCCTCACTATCAAACAACACAAGATACACACACAGACACACCCACACTATCACACAACACAAGATACACACACAGCCACACCCTCACTATCACACAACACAAGATACACACACAGCCACACCCTCACTATCACACAACACAAGATACACACACAGACACACCCACACTATCACACAACACAAGATACACACACAGCCACACCCTCACTATCACACAACACAAGATACACACACAGACACACCCACACTATCACACAACACAAGATACACACACAGCCACACCCTCACTATCACACAACACAAGATACACAGCCACACCCTCACTATCACACAACACAAGATACACAGCCACACCCTCACTATCACACAACACAAGATACACACACAGACACACCCACACTATCACACAACACAAGATACACACACAGACACACCCACACTATCACACAACACAAGATACACACACAGCCACACCCTCACTATCACACAACACAAGATACACAGCCACACCCACACTATCACACAACACAAGATACACAGCCACACCCTCACTATCACACAACACAAGATACACAGCCACACCCTCACTATCACACAACACAAGATACACAGCCACACCCCTCACTATCACACAACACAAGATACACAGCCACACCCACACTATCACACAACACAAGATACACAGCCACACCCTCACTATCACACAACACAAGATACACAGCCACACCCACACTATCACACAACACAAGATACACAGCCACACCCTCACTATCACACAACACAAGATACACAGCCACACCCTCACTATCACACAACACAAGATACACAGCCACACCCCTCACTATCACACAACACAAGATACACAGCCACACCCACACTATCACACAACACAAGATACACAGCCACACCCTCACTATCACACAACACAAGATACACAGCCACACCCACACTATCACACAACACAAGATACACAGCCACACCCTCACTATCACACAACACAAGATACACAGCCACACCCTCACTATCACACAACACAAGATACACACACAGCCACACCCTCACTATCACACAACACAAGACACACAGCCACACCCTTCACTATCACACAACACAAACTACACACACAGACACACCCCTCACTATCACACAACACACACACACGGTAGTTCAAATATTACACTCATCAACCACAACAACAATTCAGTTGTTCAAATTCTTATGAGAGCCATTTCGTAATATCTGTGATGATATAATGAGTCACTATAATGTTTACATTTTAGATAACATGTTGACAAGACCACACACTAGAAGGTGAAGGGACGACGACGTTTCGGTCCGTCCTGGACCATTCTCAAGTCGATTGCGAATGACTCCACAATCGACTTGTCCAGGACGGACCGAAACGTCGTCGTCCCTTCACCTTCTAGTGTGTGGTCTGGTCAACATACTTTAGCCACGTTATTGTGACTCATCGCCTGCTTTTAGGTAACATGTTAAACTATTTTTAACCGCCGTATAACAGGTTGGGCGAGCGTCGTGGTGCCTCACGGTGGTGGCGGCGAGCAGCGACGTCGCCTTCCTCACTACCTTCGCCAGGAGGGCCTCGAGGAGCCGCCTGCTGCGTCCAGCAGCACGGCTCCTCCTCCTCACTCACAGTTCTCTAGTAAATAATTCTGACTTCAGCAGCGTCTTTTCCAAGATGAACGCCTTGACGCTCGTTATCGAACACAACTCCAACCACCATCTGCAGTAAGAAATGTCAATATATATATTTATATATAAATGGAAATGTTCGTTTGTTCAAATTCGTTAATCTCCGAAAGTTCTTCGCCGATTGCTTTGACATTTTCACACAACGTTCCATTCGCATCCGGGCAGGTTTTTATATACCTACTATATAGATGCCACCCCTGTGACGGTAAAAAAAAACATGCTTTTTCTGAAAAACTGTGTTTTTCATGTGTTTTTCCATGTGAAGGAAATCTTTGAAACCTCTTTACCGATTGCTTTGAAATTTTGACATAACGTTGCATTCGAATAGGCGCGTTTTTTATATATCTATTATATACATGCTTCACCTGTGACAGGGAAAAACATGTTTTTTTTTTTTTTTAAACAGCGCCATCTGCTGAACGTAAGAGCAACACACGCTGTAATCTCTGAAAGTTCTTCACCTATTGCTTTGAAATTTTGGCACAACTTTCCATTCGAGTACGCGCATGTTTTTATATACCTACTATATAGATGCCACCCCTGTGACAGGCAATAACATGCGCGTTTAAAAAACAGCGCCATCTGTTGCACATAAGACCGACAAACGCTATACTAATTACATTACGATTCTATTTCAATGTTTCTGATTTCATTGATGAATTGAATTTTCATAGATTTCGATTTATTTTAATTTTGATTTAATTATTTTGTGTGACATTGTGTTGGAATTGAGCTGTGTTGTTTACCATACCATTCATTTCATGAATATAATTTATTTTTTATTTTTTATTTTTTCATTTCGTTTTTTAATTGTTTTTCTTATATTTCAGTGATTGAAACATGAGATCAGTTGATGTTCCTAATTTTCTGATGGGAACATCAGATCATTTGGGAAGGCATCGGACGAGAGCGTGGGGAATGGTGGGGAGGGCGAGGGGACGGGGGAGTGAGAGATGGTGGAGAGGACGAGGGGACAGGGGAGTGAGAGATGGTGGAGAGGACGAGGGGACGGTGGAGTGGGGAATGGTTAGAAGGACGAGGGGACGGGGGAGTGGGGAATGGTTAGAAGGACGAGGGGACGGGGGAGTGGGGAATGGTTAGAAGGACGAGGGGACGGGGGAGTGGGGAATGGTTAGAAGGACGAGGGGACGGGGGAGTGGGGAATGGTTAGAAGGACGAGGGGACGGGGGAGTGGGGAATGGTTGGGAGGACCAAGGGATGGGAGAGAGGGGGGGATGGTGGGAGAGGACTGGGAGACAGGGGAAAGGTTGCTGTGGCTCAGCTGTGGCTCAGCTGTGGCTCAGCTGTGGGAATGGAACTATCAAGCGAAAGAGCCAAGCCACCACGACTATATAGCACTTGGAGGGAATAATGATTGGGATTTGGGATGGGACGGGGAGAAGGAAAGGAATGGTGCCCAACCTCTTGGACGGTCGGGCATTGAACGCCGACCTGCATGAATCTACCGTCCACCCCAAGTGGTTGGACTTTGAGAGAAGTTAATAAACAGAATGCACTAGGAAGTGATACTATGGAGACTGACTTCATTCACAGTTTCAAGTGTAGATATAAGAGAGGTGAATAGGCTTAGGGGCTAGTAATTGACGGTTGAGAGGCGGGACCGAAGGTCAGAAGCTCAACCCCCGCATGCACAGGTCCACAATTAAGTACACACACACACACACACACACACACACACACACACACACACACACACACACACACACACACACACACACACACACACACACACACGTACCTGTGTCCCCTAGCACACGCACTAGGGGACACAGGTGGAAACTGAGTGCCCAAATGAGCCACAGAGATATTAGAAAGAACTTTTTTAGTGTCAGAGTGGTTGACAAATGGAATGCATTAGGAAGTGATGTGGTGGAGGCTGACTCCATACACAGTTTCAAGTGTAGATATGACAGAGCCCGATAGGCTCAGGAATCTGTACACCTGTTGATTGACGGTTGAGAGGCGGGACCAAAGAGCCAGAGCTCAACCCCCGCAAACACAACTAGGTGAGTACAACTAGGTGAGTACACACACACACACACACCAAAGAGCCAAAGCTCAACCCCCGCAAGCACAAATAAGTGAGTACACACACACACACACACACACACAAGACATGATGGACTACATCACGCAGAAGTGCAAGGACGCAGCAAACAAGTTTTGTCCCAGTCCAAAAGGAAGACAACAAAATGAAGATGAGAAACCCATGGTTTAATCAGAGATGTAGGCTAGCTAAGCAGCAAAGTAAAAGGGCATGGAGAAACTATAGGAATAACAGGACACTGGAGAGCAGAGAAAGATACCAGAATGCCAGGAATGAATATGTCAGGATGAGAAGAGAGGCAGAAAGACAATACGAAAATGACATCGCGAGCAAGGCAAAGACTCACCCTAAATTGCTGCACAGCCACATCAGGAGAAAAACGATAGTAAAGGAACAGGTAATGAAATTAAGGATAGGGGCAGAAGCATTCACTACAAACGACAAGGAGTTGTGTGAGGAACTGAATAAGAAATTCCAGGAGGTCTTCACCTTAGAGCAAGGAGAAATTCCAGAGATACGAGAGGGAATAGTTAACCAGGAACCACTGGAAGAGTTTGCGATTACCAGTGGGGAAGTAAGGAAGTGTTTACTAGAATTGGATGTGACAAAGGCTATAGGCCCAGATGGAATCTCCCCTTGGATACTAAAGGAAGGAGCAGAAGCACTGTGCTTACCACTCTCCATAGTGTATAATAAATCACTGGCAACAGGGAAACTGCCAGAAATTTGGAAAGCGGATAATATAGGGCCGATATATAAGATAGGAGGCACTGAACTACAGGCCAGTGTCCCTAACCTGCATACCATGCAAGCTGATGGAGAAGATTGTGAGAAGAAAGATAATGGAACATCTGGAGTGAAAGGACTTTGTAACACAGCATCAACATGGGTTCAGGGATGGCAAGTCCTGCCTCAAAGGGTTACTTGAATTCTACGACCAGGCAACAAAAATCAGGCAAGAAAGAGAGGGATGGGCAGACTGCATATTTTTTGATTGCCAGAAAACCTTTGATACAGTACCACACAAGAGGCTAGTGAAAAAGCTGGAGATGCAGGCTGTAGTGAAAGGGAAGGTACTCCGGTGGATAAGGGAGTACCTAAGCAACAGAAGACAGCGAGTCACTGTGAGGGGAGAGGTCTCAGATTGGCGAGACGTCACAAGTGGAGTCCCGCAGGGGTCAGTCCCTGGATCTATACTGTTTCTGATATATGTAAATGATCTGCCGGAGGGTATAGACTCGTTTCTCTCAGTGTTTGCTGATAACGCAAAAATTATGAGGAGGATTGAAACAGAAGATGATAGTAGGAGGCTACAAGATGACCTAGACAGATTGAATGAATGGTCCAACATATGGCTGCTCAAGTTCAACCCGAGTAAATGCAAAGTAATGAAACTAGGCGGTGGAAACAGAAGGGCAGACACAGGATACAGAATGGGAGATGAAGTACTTTATGAAACGGACAGAGAGAAAGATCTAAGAGTTGATATCACACCAAACCTGTCTCCTGAAGCCCACATAAAGAGAATAACGTCTGCGGCATATGCGAGGCTGGCTAACATCAGAACAGCGTTCAGGAACCTGTGTAAGGAATCCTTCAGAACCTTGTATACCACATATGTAAGACCAATCCTGGAGTATGCGGCCCCAGCATGGAGCCCGTACCTTGTCAAGCACAAGACGAAGCTGGAAAAAGTATGCCAGAGGTATGCCACTAGACTAGTCCCAGAACTAAGAGGCATGAGTTACGAGGAAAGGCTGCGAGAGATGCACCTTACGACACTGGAAGACAGAAGCGTAAGGGGAGACATGATCACTACCTACAAAATCCTCAGTGGTATTGACAGTTTAGACAAGGATAAACTATTCAACACTGGTGGTACGCGAACAAGGGGATACAGGTGGAAACTGAGTACCCAAATGAGCCACAGGGACGTTAGGAAGAACTTTTTAAGTATGAGAGTAGTTAACAGGTGGAATGCATTGGGCAGTGATGTGGCGGAGGCTGACTCCATACACACTCAATTTTAAATGTAGATATGATAGAGCCCAATAGGCTCAGGAATCTGTATACCAGTTGACTGACGGTTGAGAGGCAGGACCAAAGAGCCAAAGCTCAACCCCCCCGCAAGCACAATTGGTGAGTACAATTAGGTGTACACACACACATACAAAGGTTGAAACTGAAGCCCATATCAAGAGGATAACTGAAGCCCATATCAAGAGGATAACTGAAGCCCATATCAAGAGGATAACTGAAGCCCATATCAAGAGGATAACTGAAGCCCATATCAAGAGGATAATATCAGCGGCATATGCCAGGTTGGTTAACATAAGAACGGCCTTTAGAAACTTGTGTAAGGAATCATTCAGAATCTTGTATACCACATATGTCAGACCAATCCTGGAGTATGCGGCTCCAGCATGGAGTCCATATCTAGTCAAGCATAAGACTAAACTGGAAAAGGTTCAAAGGTTTGCCACCAGACTAGTACCCGAGCTGAGAGGTATGAGCTACGAGGAGAGACTACGGGAATTAAACCTCACTTCGTTGGAAGACAGAAGAGTTAGGGGGGACATGATCACCACATTCAAGATTCTCAAGGGAATCGACAGGGTAGATAAAGACAAGCTATTTAACACAAGGGGAACACGCACAAGGGGACACAGGTGGAAACTGAGTGCCCAAATGAGCCACAGAGATATTAGAAAGAACTTTTTTAGTGTCAGAGTGGTTGACAAATGGAATGCATTAGGGGGTGATGTGGTGGAGGCTGACTCCATACACAGTTTCAAGTGTAGATATGACAGAGCCCGATAGGCTCAGGAATCTGTACACCTGTTGATTGACGGTTGAGAGGCGGGACCAAAGAGCCAGAGCTCAACCCCCGCAAACACAACTAGGTGAGTACAACTAGGTGAGTACACAGGTGGAAACTGAGTGCCCAAATGAGCCACAGAGATATTAG